AAGTGGGGTTATTTCTTGATATAAAAGATACTGAACTAGAGCAAAGGGTTAGACCAGAAATACATCAAGCACCGACATGCTGGGAATGCCAGTAGTCACAGAAATGTAGATAAGAACTCAGTGTTTGTTCTCATAAATACACACCGAGAGGGAAAAAATGGAACTGCTGCAGTCATGTTTTCTCACTGCACTGAACCGTGACCCTGACAGCAAAATACTTAACAAACCATAGCTTGTAAACTGTTCCAGCCCAATCACGGTGCAGGCTCAAACGTGATAGGTTTCACAGGCATGCTGCTCCCACTAATCATCCATGCAAACTGAGAAATGTTGCACAAGGGAGACAATTACAAAACAAAATCTTCCCCAGAAACTTAACTCTAAATGCCTTTCAGCAAGGCATTTAGTTCCTGAATGTGGCAACGATGTACAGCTGTGATGAATGAGATGATGTTAAGTGTACAGTCCTCTGTGTTTTAAGTTGGTTTGCCTGATGTCTGATTACACTGTAATCTAATACAAGGCATGAAGCATCAGAAGACCATGGGAACTGTGGATCAAATAACATGTGAGGGAATAGGGAGCTTTCAGACACTCCCATATGGATGACATCTAATTTAAGATTCAACATTTGAAACGAAATCATTTTAAAAGAGAATACCAAATGCAAAGAAACAGGGCCAGCTCCTTCTTACTGATAGAAGCAGTGCATTTGTACGGGCAATAAAACACCCATTGCAATGAACTGCAGTACTGTACGGTAGTAAACGTGAAATATCAAATATATCTCTATACAAAAAAGAGCAGTTTAATGTTAGCATTCACAAACAGCAGACACAGGCTCCAGGTGAATGCGGCATCACCTGGTTCAGCAAACGCCACACAGTCTGTGTTTAATCCAACTCTCCTACCGGTGAAAGTGATTAACTCTTTTTAAGTTCGGAGATTGTAGAGCCGAACAGAACAAAATATCACAAATATACCCGAAACCCTCTTGTTCTTAACACCCTGAGAGTGGAGCACACAATTAAAGCAAAGTGCTGTTAATTTGCCCCCTTTTTCCCAACCAGATTTTGAATATAATTTGCACAACTAGGGGGACTTAGCAACTCCACGCAAGCGTCGCTTAGCTGGCGAGACATTATTCGCGCTGTGCCCGAATCCCCCCTTCAGACACCACCATCGCCACGGTCTCATCAGCACTGCGGCTCTAAATAACGTTATTTAAAGGGGTAAAAAAGCGAGCAAAGCACGCCGTGCGAGCATGTAGCATGAATGAACTAAAAGTACCTGGTTTTGTGGTTGTGGTCTGCGGTCCCTGACCACCGCTGACTGGCTGCCGAGGGGAGCTTAGCTCTCGCCGTCTACGTCTGGAGCTTCACCGCTGTTAAATTCCCTCCTCATCGCAGCTTAACCGGACACACTCATACACGTCAGACACTAAGTATTTGGAGGATATCATTGAGCGAGTCCCCGGCCTCGAGGAGAGCGCGCCAGTGGTCGAGATCAGTTAGTTGGGTTAACAGCAAACAAAAAAGACTCCCCCGGGACAGCAAGGCGCACGAGCCCTTTCAGTCTGTCACTTACTGTTTCTCCTCTGGAGGGAAAAAACGATCACCGCTATCTTCCTCACAGTTTTCATTCCCGCTGGAAGCCCGAGTATGGTCAATTCCCCATTCCCTCCAGTCACAGGACGGTATTTCCAGAAGAAAACTTGTACAAAAAGAAACCCTCTCCTCCGCGTGCACACCAGGAGTGGAGCGTTACTGGCTGGAGCGGCGCTTTCTCTGTGCTGCCTTCACCGGCTGTCGGAAATGTCCAACCCCAAAGCATGGGAAAATAGGACACAGGATTCGCCGTCATACTCCGTGATGGTGTAAGGATGACACTATAGCTTAGCTGAAAAGTGTTTCGCTGGTTGAATAAACCTGCAGCACCATATTAAAAGAATCGATATTCCAATATAAACCCCGTTCAGACTTTTAAAATGCCACATGACCAGGCAGACACCAATACATCTATTCAATATATCCAGAATGCTCCGTGTCTGTGTCTGTATTAACTGAACAAAAGCCTGTCAATAGGTTGAATATTATCTTTGTGCTCGAATAAGCATCCTAACAAGTCAGACAGGGGTCATGTCACATAAATAGTATTGTTCCCAACTGTAATGGTCAACATCTTTTGGTTCCCATGTGCCAGTCTGATTCCATATTATGCCACTTAGAAGGCTCTAAAAAATGAGTCATACCCAAGTAACAGAGGAAGGCCACATAGATGTGGAAACATGCCCATAAGAGGAGACTTTTATTAGCTACAGGAAGCCGATTCAGCATCTA